TGCACCTCCCTTTTTTATTTTCTTTAGACATATTTGATATGGTTATGATGTGCAGTGGTGTTGCCATCCTCTGACCAGAGGAAGAAAGCCAGTACTTTGAAGACAGTATAGAGGTTGATGAGAAAAAGCCTGGATCCTTTATGACATGTTAAAGCATTGAACAAATCCTAGAAATTTTAGGTTTCTGTTTCTGTGACATAATTAAGAACAAGGAGAAAATCTTGGTGTTTACAGATAAGTAGTCTGTGTCTTGCAACTGAATGATTTTTTTTTTTTTTTTTTTTTTGGAGACAGAGCCTCAAGCTATCCCCCTGGGTAGAGTGCCGTGGCTTCACAGCTCACAGCAACCTCCAACTCCTGGACTCAAGCGAGTCTCCTGCCTCTGCCTCCCAAGTAGCTGGGACCACAGGTGCCAGCCGCAATGCCCAGCTATTTTTTGGTTGCAGCTGTCATTGTTGTTTGGCGGGTCCGGGCTGGGTTCGAACCCACCACCTTAGGTGTATGTGGCTGGTGCCTTAGCCACTTGAGCCACAGGCGCCGAGCCGCAACTGAATGATTTAAGGGCAAATAAAAGTAAGAGGCTTCTTTTTTTTTTTTTTTTTGAGACAGCCTCACTTTGTTGCCTTCAGTAGAGTGTTGTGACATCACAGCTCACAGCAACCTGAAACTCCTGGGCCCAATTGATTCTCCTGCCTCAGCTTTCCAAGTAGCTGGGACTACAGGCGCCCACCACAACGCCCAGCTATTTTTTTGTTGCAGTTGTTTAGCTGGCCCAGGCTGGGTTTGAACCCACTACCCTCGGTGTATGTGGCTGGCACTATAACCACTGTGCTATGGGTGCTGAACCAAGAGGCTTAATTCTTTATGTAAAAGAAAAGGGGAGAGATGGGACTCCCCCTTCCTTTCCTTAGACCATTTTCCTTAGAATACTGTAAATTCTTTCTCTGCCCCATTGAGATGTACTTAAATCTTAATAAAAAGCCTCTGGCCAGTTTCATAACCCACTAATGGCTTTCTCAAAGACCTGGAAACCACCTTTTAGAAATGAAGTATCAGGTGAGTGCAATGGCTCAAGCCTGTAATCCTAGCACTCTGGCAGGCAGAGGCAGCTGGACTGCCTGAGCTCACAGGTTAGAGACCAGCCTGAGCCAGTGCCAGACCCTGCCTCTAAAAATAGCCAGGCATTGTGGCTTCTTGGGAGGCTGATGCAAGAGAATTGCTTGAGCCCAAGAGTTTGAGGTTGCTGTGAGCTGTGACGTCATAGCAATCTACCCTGGGCTACAAAGAGATTTTTGTCTCAGAAAAAATACAGGAGGGAAGGGAGGAAAGGAAATGGCAGATAGCACCCCTGTTACCTCGTTTCTGCAAGAGCCTAAGTTGATCTAAGTGCCTGAAATACCTGAGGTCATAAAGAAATAAGTTTTGGGTGGTGCCTGTGGCTTAAGGAGTAGGGCGCTGGCCCCATGTGCAGGAGGTGGTGGGTTCAAACACAGCCCCGGCCAAAAACTGCAAAAACAACAAAAAAAAGGAAATGAGAAGCTTCAGGGTTTTTTCCCTTTATGCAAAGCTAATTAAACTGAGTTACTTCAATTACCAAGTCAATTTAGAATGAGCTGTTTAGTTGTGCAACTTTGTTTAATTCACTGCTTGAATATGTTTAAAAGCAAAAGAATTGAAGCATCAGTTAAATAATTTTCTTATTGTACACTGGACATGGTTCCATGACAATTTATAGTGCACTGGGAAACCCATGATAACTGTATGCAGTTTGTTTGTTTGTTTGTTTGTTTTTGGCACAGGTGCCGCCCCATGATAACTGTATGATAAATACATTAGTGAGACTTCTACAGGTTTCCGGCTTCCCAGGGTCAGAGCATCTATGGTAACAGTCAGGTACCATCAGGGAGGTCCCATATTTTGGGTATTGCTATTAAGAAATTACCACAGGCTCTGCGCCTGTGGCTCAAGCGGCTAAGGCGCAGCCACATACACCTGAGCTGGTGGGTTCAAATCCAGCCTGGGCCCGCCAAACAACAATGAAGGCTGCAACCAAAAAATGGCTGGGTGTTGTGGCAGGCACCTGTAAGTCCCAGCTACTTGGGAGGCGGAGGCAGGAGAATCATTTGAACCCAGGAGTTGGAGATTGCTGTGAGCCATAATGTGACAACACTCTACCCAGGGCAACAGCTTGAGGCTCTGTTTCAAAAAAAAAAAGAAAAGAAAAGAAAAGAAATCACCACAGACTTGGCAGGTTAACAACAAAAATCAAGATGTCAGAGATTCAAACTGTGGCTCTAGGGGAGTCTTTCCCTTGCCTCTTTTAGTGCCTGGTGTTTTGTCATTTTGTCAGCTTTCTTAGCTTGGGGCCACATCACTGCAATTTTTGCCTCTATCTTCACATTGCTTTCTCATCTATGTTTGTTTGGTTTTTTCTTTCTTTTTTTTTTGAGACAAGAGTGTCACTGTCTTGGCATGGCATCACAACTCTCAGTAACCTCAAACTCTTGGGCTTAAGCAATTCTCTTGCCTCAGCCTCCCAAGTAGCTGGGACTATATGCACCTGCCACAATGCCCAGCTATTTTTGTTGTTGTAGTTGTTGTTTGGCAGGCCTCAGGTCCTGGTGTATTTGACTGGCACCCTACCTGCTGAGCTGCAGGCGCTGAGCCTCTTCTGTGTCTCTTCTTGTTACTCATAAAGAAATCTGGCTCGGCGCCTATAGCTCAACCGGCTAAGGCGCCAGCCACGTACACCTAAGGTGGCGGGTTCGAATCCCCAGTCCGGACCCGCCAAACAACAATGACGGCTGCAACCAAAAAATAGCCGGGCGTTGTGGCGGGCGCCTGTGGTCCCAGCTACTTGGGAGGCAGAGGCAGGAGACTCGCTTGAGCCCAGGAGTTGGAGGTTGCTGTGAGCTGTAATGCCACGGCACTCTACCCAGGGGGACAGCTTGAGGCTCTGTCTCAAAAAAAAAGGAAAAAAAAAAAAAAGAAATCTGACATGGGAATTAGGGTGCATCCTGGTAATCAAGATGGTCCCCTCATTTCAAGACCCTTAATTATGTTTGTAAAGACCCCTTTTCCAAATAAAATGACAGAGGTTCCAGGAATTGAAAGTGGACCTGTCTTTTTGGAGAATACCATCCAACCCTCCAGTCTGCCACTTGCTCTCCAAAATTAGCATCTGTCTTGTGCAAAATACTGTGTATGCCAACATTCCCAAGTTTCAACCTCTTACAGAGTCAACTTTACGTCTCAAATCACATCTAAATATCATTAGCTCTAAAGTCCCAAATCTCATCTAATCATGTTAAATCTGGATGAGTGAGACTCTGGATATGATCCATCCTGGGGGACAATTCCTCCCCATCTGAGGACCTACAGAACTATTAGAAAAATAAGCTACTGGGCCAGGCATAGTGGCTCACACCTGTAATCCTAGCACTTGGGATGCCCAGGTGGGTGGATCGCCTGAGTACACAGGTTTGAGACCAGCCTCAACAAGATCAAGACCTCATCTCTAAAAATAGCTGGGCCTAGGGCAGTGCCTGTGGCTCACAGAATAAGGTCCCAGCCCCATATACCAGAGGTGGTGGGTTCAAACCCAACCCCAGCCTAAAACTGCAAAAAAAAATTTAAAAAATAGCCAGGGGTCTGATGAAAGCCTCCCAGCTACTTGGGAGGCTGAGGCAAGAGAATCGCTTAAGCCCAAGAGATTGAGGTTTCTGTGAGCTGTGATGCCATGGCACTCTACAGAGGGCTACAAAAGAAGACTCTGTCTCAAAAAAAAAAAAAAAAGTGGTGCTTGTGGCTCAGTTTGGGTCACAAGTTTGAACTCGGCCCCAGCCAGCTAAAACAGCAATGGCAACTGCAAAAAAAAATAGCTGGGCGTTGTGATGGGCACCTGTAGTCCCAGCTATTCAGGAGTCTGAGACAAGAGAATCACTTAAGCCCAAGATTTGGAAATTGCTGTGTCTCAAACCAAAAAAAAAGAAAGAGAGAGAGAGAGAAAGAAAAATAAGCTACTTCTAAAATGCAATGGAACAGCCAGAGGATAATAGTCACAATATTCCTAGTTCAAAAAGGTAGAAAATGGAAAGTAGAGAGGAGTCATCAATCCCAAGGCACATAAAAATCCAGCAGAAAAAAAATTCCCATTAGGTTTTAAGATCTGGGAATAATCCTCTGTTGCCTCCCTCATGCTCTGTTCCTGTACCTCCATCTCCTTGGCCCAAGCAAGCTTCTCTTCTACTTTTGTGTTTTCTTTTTTTTTTCTTTCTTTCTTTTTTTTTTTAGCGTTTCACTTTGTGGCCATCAATAGAGCGCTTAACATCACAACTCACAGCAACCTGCAGCTCTTGGGCTTAGGCGATTCTCTAGCCTCAGCCTCCTGAGTAGCTGTCCTGTCGTGTTTTCTAATGTGAGAATTAATCATTGCAAATTGAGAACATGTTTGTAACAGGTTGTACCTGCCTGTGCCTGAGGTGCATCTCCGGCACTTGCTAAACCGCGCGTTTACCTGCCCAGTCCAGCACCCTTGCGCCTCACCTTCTTCCCTCTCGTGGTGGGTTTTCAGGGGCCCCTTGGGCTCCTGATTCCGCCGCCTGCTATCTCATTGGCCCGACGCTCTCGGGACCTGACCGGAAGCCGCCAGTTTTTTGTTTTGTTGTTTTTTATTTTATTTGAGTTTTACTTTATCGAATTCAGTAGAGTGCCGAGACATCACAGCTCACAGCAACGTCCAACTCCTGGGTTTTCGTGATTCTCTTGCTTCAGCCTCCCGAGTAGCTGGGACTACAGGCGCCCGCCACAACGCCCAGCTATTTTTTGTTGCTGTTTGGCAGGGCCGGGTTCGAACCCGGAGGCTGACACCTTACCCATTGAGCCACAGGCGCCGCACGGACTCCCCTCACTTTTATCTTTTCTATTGGATAAGCTGCCAGTGCGTCAGAAAATTCATCCAATGGGGATTAAGCAGGGCCCGGGCTCAAAGTATAAAAACGCCTACTGCGTATTGCTGGGACTTCTCACGACCTGTTAGATCTGGAAGGTAGCCGCTGTTCCTTGGCCCCCCCGCCCCCACACACACTGGGCCGCGAGAGCCAGCGAATTGTTAGATCTTCGGCCTGGGCCTCACGTTCCCCCCGACCCCTTTCCAGGATCTGCTGAACTCGAGCTCCCAGTTCCAAAGGGCTCCGGAAGGCGTCAGCCGCTCTCCACCTCGCGAGCTGCTGAAGTCTGCGATGCAGGAGGGCACATCTGAACCCGCAGGTGAGAAGAGTAAGAAGCAGGACAGAAAAAGGGGGTGGAGATGAAAGACCTGGTGTGCGCTGTTGGTAGGGGGTGGGGCATGGAGGAAAGTGCTGACATCTGTTTCCCTCTTCTCCCGGCGCCCCGTCTTCGCCTTCTCCCCATCTTCCTTCTCACCCTTTTCTCCCTTCTCCAGCTGCAGCCTGCCGCACAGCCCGGCTTGGCCGTCGCCCAGCCACGTGAGCGCCTGCTGTCCCCACCTGGGGAGGGAGGGGCAGAACCGGGGTGAAAAGCTAGCTGGGGTGTGGACAGAGCGTTGGCTCCTGGGACTGACGGGACCTCCAAGGGAGAGACGGGAAACATTCGGAACCCCTGGCTTTTCTTTCTTCCTCTCTCGTCAGTAGGCGATTCACGATTGCTGACTTTGAAATCGGGCGCCCTCTGGGCAAGGGGAAATTTGGAAATGTGTACCTGGCTCGGCTCAAGGAAAACCATTTTATTGTGGCCCTAAAGGTTCTTTTCAAGTCACAGATAGAGAAGGAAGGACTGGAGCACCAGCTGCGCAGGGAAATTGAAATCCAGGCGCGTTTGCAGTAAGGACTGTCTTAGCATGAGACTCCCGCCCTAGGTCTTTCCTCATTCACCTACCTGTTTGCCTCTGACATCTGAACCCAGCGTTTGGTAGAATAAAGTTCTACATCCCCTGCTCATAGTACCCCGAGAAAGGCCTTTGTTTCTACCTTGAAGATTTTCCTCTGCAATTCCTTACATGATGTAAATCTCTGTAGGCACCTAAATCTTTTTTTTTTTTTTTTTTTTTTTTTTTGAGACAGAGCCTCAAGCTGTTGCCGTGGGTAGAGTGGCATGGCATCACAGCTCACAGCAACCTCCAACTCCTGGACTCAAGCGATTCTCCTGCCTCCGCCTCCCAAGTAGCCGGGACCACAGGCGCCTGCCACAACGACCGGCTATTTTTTGGTTGCAGCCGTCATTGTTGTTTGGCAGGCCCTGGGTGGATTCAAACCTACCAGCTCAGGTGTATGTGGCTGGTGCCTTAGCCACTTGAGCCACAGGCACCGAGCCAGGCACCCAAATCTTAATGCCTGTTCCCAGTTCTCCCTTCACTCACTCCCAAATTGAGCCATATTCATATTCTGATCCCAGCACTGTTTGCCGCTTGTGTGACCATTCAGTGATGATAGACTGCATTGTGGGCTGGGCCTCAGGGAGAATCATGACCTTTCCTCCATCCTTCCTTCAGACACCCCAATATCCTAAGGCTCTACAATTACTTCCATGATGCTCGCCGTGTGTATCTGATTCTGGAATATGCTCCAAGGGGTGAGCTGTACAAGGAGCTGCAGAAAAACCACACATTTGATGAGCAGCGAACAGCCACGGTGAGGTGATGGATAGAGATTCTAAGCCTATGAATTTACTGTTGGATGGGGGTCGGGGGGAGGTCTCTGTTCTCTAGAACAATAAATAATGTGTGTAAGTTGGGATTCTTTGGTTGTAAGCAAGAGAATCTATCTTATGCAAAGAAACAATTCGAAAGGCTGTGAAGGAGTTCACTGAAAAAATGGATACAACTGGCTTAGAAATCTATACCACAAGAGTTTTCCAGGAAAGAGAAGCACAGCAGTAGACTTCCAGCAGCAATGGTCAAATCAGCTTGTCTGTCACAATGAATGAATGATCTTCTATCTTTTCTCCTGTTTATATATCATTTCCCCAGTTCTTGAAGCCTTGTGGGAGATCATCTGAAATACAGCTTAGTGTAGGTTGTGCATGTGACTACTTGTTGTGCCAGGGCAACAAGGAAGATGTTTTTACTTTACCACCCATCCTATAACACCAAAAAATACTATTAAAAAGGAGGTGATGGCTCGACGCCTGTGGCTCAAGTGGCTAAGGTGCCAGCCACATACACCTAAGGTGGCGGGTTCAAATCCAGCCAGGGCCCAGCAAACAACAATGACAGCTACAACCAAAACAAAATAGCCAGGCATTGTGGCGGGCGCCTGTGGTCCCAGCTACTTGGGAGGCGGAGGCAGGAGACTCTCTTGAGCCCAGGAGTTGGAGGTTTCTGTGATGCCATGGCACTCTACCTAGGGGAACAGCTTGAGGCTCTGTCTCAAAAAAAAAAAAAAAAAAAGAATAAAAGATCTCACTTGCATCATAAAATTCATGATGCCTATTCCACTTTATGGGGCAATTGGGCAGGTTTACTTCCAGATTGCCTTTTCTTTGCTCATTCAGATAATGGAGGAGTTGGCAGATGCCCTGACTTACTGCCATGACAAGAAAGTGATCCACAGGGATATTAAGCCAGAAAACCTGCTTCTGGGTTTGAGGGGTGAGGTGAAGATTGCCGATTTTGGCTGGTCTGTGCACACCCCCTCTCTGAGGTAGGTCTGGTGGTGGCAGCAGTGGCATTGCTAGGCTGGGCCCTAAGTACTAGTTGGTTAGGAATGATCCATTTTAATTCCATGTCTAAGATCCAGAAACATAGCTAAGTTTGTTTTCATATATTGCTCTTTTCAAATTACTCAAGTTATTATTTTATATTTTTATTTATACTTTTTTTTTTTAGAGATGGGGACTTTTTTTTTTTTTTTCTTGAGACAGAGCCTCAAGTTCTGGGTGGAGTGCTGTGGCATCACAGCTTACAGCAATCTCCAATTCCTGGGCCCAAGTGAGTCTTCTGCCTCAGCCTCCCTAGTAGCTGGGACCACAGGCACCAACGCCCGGCTATTTTTTTTTGGTTGCAGCCATCACTGTTGTTTTGGGGGGCCCGGGTTGGATTCGAACCCATCACCTTAGGTGTATGTGGCTGGAGCCTTAGCCACTTGAGCCACAGGTGCCGAGCCAGAGATGGGGTCTTTATTTAGAGTTGGTGTGCTCCAAATATTTCCTTTCCGCCCACCCTTTTTTTGGCACTAAAATTATGTTGATCCAAATATTTCCAAATATTTCTTGATGTTGAGAATATTCTTGTGAGAACATTCTGGATCATAAGCTGAATAGTTATATGGATAATTTCAAATAATGGATTAGTAAGCCCCAGTACTTGCTGTCTCTTAAACTTGATCCATATTAAAATTCTGTGCCTGGGGGAGTACTTCCCACGATGTCCTAAGGCAGTGGTTCTCAACCTTCCTAATACTGTGATCCTTTCATACAGTTCCTGTGGGTTTCAACCCACAGCCTGAGAACCGCTGTCCTAAGGTTTCCCGTCTCACTAGAAGCTAGAGAGAATGGTTTCTTACAGTCTAGGCTTCTCTGCTCAGTGTTCTCTCTGCCTTCCTCTAGGAGAAACACAATGTGTGGAACACTTGACTACTTGCCCCCGGAAATGGTTGAGGGGAGGACATATGATGAAAAGGTGGATCTGTGGTGCATTGGGGTGCTGTGCTATGAGCTGTTGGTGGGAAAGCCACCCTTTGAGAGCACCTCATATAATGAGACCTACAGGCGCATTGTCAAGGTGGGATGGTCACACTGGGGATTCGTGGGAAGCTGGCTAGTGATGGCTTCTGGGCCTGTGGGGACCAAGGTACACAGACAGTGTTGTATACTAAGGTCCAGAGTGCCTTATAGAGACAAGGGGAAGAACGTTGACCAGAAATTAACCAAACTTCTCTTTCTTCTTTCCTGGCTTAATCAGGTAGATGTGAGGTTCCCCCAAACAATGCCTTCGGGGGCCCAGGACCTGATCTCCAGGCTTCTCCGATACAAGCCCCAGGAGCGGCTGCCCCTGGCCCAGATCCTGGAGCACCCTTGGGTCCAGGCCCATTCCCGGAGGGTGCTGCCTCCCTGTGCTCAGATGACTTCCTGAGCCCTATCTGCCTTTGTTCCTTTGTGTTTGTTTAGGGAGCTATCCTGGCTCTACTACCTCATCTATCTTCTTTGTTTCGTCTAAGGTTCTAATTAATAAAAGTTGAATAATTTTGTATCAGGTCTTTATAGTTTTTTGAGTTAGTATGTGACTATATTAGATCTTAATTTCTTATGGAACCTCTTCCCATCAGAGTTGTCCAAGGTTATCCCTTCTGGCCCCAGTGATGGTGATTTCACTCTTTTTTTTTTTTTTTTTGAGACAGAGCCTCAAGCTGTTGCCCTGGGTAGAGTGCCATGGCATCACAGCTCACAGCAACCTCCAACTCCTGGGCTCAAGCGAGTCTCCTGCCTCTGTCTCCCAAGTAGCTGGGATTACAGGTGCCCACCACAATGCCTGACTATTTTTTGGTTGCAGCCGTCATTGTTTGGCAGGCCCGGGCTGGATTTGAACCCACCAGCTCAGGTGTACGTGGCTGGGTGCCTTAGCCCCTTGAGCCACAGGCACCGAGCTAGTGATTTTACTCTCTTTGAAAACTACCGCCTACTTTTATGCAGGGAAGTGCCCTGAAGGTACATAATCTGTCCCCCTGTTACAGTGGCTCCTCAACTTACTGTCTCTCATGTATCAAACAGTACTGCCTTCCACACAAGGGTCCACTCTTTGTAGTGATGTTCAACATGCTGCTGTCTCTGAAATAAAATATTTTCCTGCATGTCAATTAGGCAAGACAAGAAAAGAAAGGGCATTCCAATGGGAGCAGAGGAAGTCACACTCTCCCTCTTTGCTGATGGTGAGTTTATATTTAGAGAACCCCAAAGACTCAAACACAAAATTCCTGGAAGTTGTCATAAAATACAGTAATGTCTCAGGATATCAAATCAATGTCCACAAGTCAGTTGCCTTTGTATAAGCCAATAACAGCCAAAATGAGAGGCTAATGAAGGACACAACTCCCTTCATAGCCCCAAGGAAAATGAAATACCTATGTATATACCTGACAAAAGAGGTGAAGAACCTCTATAAAGAAAATTATGAAGCTCAGTGCCTGTTGCTCAAGTGGCTAAGGTGCCAGCCACATACACCTAAGGTGGCGGGTTCGAATCCAGCCCAGGCTTGCCAAACAACAATGACGGCTGCAACTAAAAAATAGCTGGGCATTGTGGCAGGCGCCTGTAGCCCCAGCTACTTGGGAGGCTGAGGCAGGAGATTCGCTTGAGCCCAAGAGTTGGAGGTTGCTGTGAGCTGAGATGCTACAGCACTCACTACCCAGGGTGATAGCTTGAGCCTCTGTCTCAAAAAAAAAAGAAAATTATGAGGGGCAGCACCTGTGGCTCAAGGAGTAGGGTGATGGCCCCATATACCAGCAGTGGTGGGTTCAAGTCCGGCCCCGGCCAAAAAAAAAAAAAAAAAAAAATAGGAGGAAAGGAAAGGAAAAAATAGTGACTAATTCTTACATAAGTTGGATTTAATTTTGACCAAAGTACATTACTTAAACATTAACTTTTTTTTAACTTTTTTGTAGACACTTGGTCTCACTTTGATGCGCATGGCAGCATCACACAGTTAACAGCAACCTCCAACTCCTGGGCTTGGGTGATTCTCTTGCCTTAGCCTCCTGGGTAGCTGGGACTACAGGCGCTCACCACAACGCCCAGCTATTTTTTTGTTTGTTGCAGTTCAGCTGGGGCTTGGTTCAAACCCACCATCCTCAGTATATGGGGCTGGTGCCCCACTCCTTTGAGCCATAGGAGCTGCCCATTTCTTAATAGTTTTGAAATGTATTGTTGCATCATGCATATTAGGTGAGGCCCCCCCCCTCAAATATCCTCCCTCCTCCCATGTCCCCCTCCCCTCCCCTCTCTCCCCTCTTCCCTCCTACTTTCTGGACTATTTTTTGATTTTTTTTCTCTAGTTTTAAACTTTAATCTTGCTAGGGATTTTCAGCACACCCTGTTTTCATTTTAATAACCATATGTATCCTCAATTCATTTAAATTTCTGTGTTATTGGTGGCACCTGTAGCTCAGTGGGTAGGGTGTTGGCCACATACTCTGAGGCTGGCAGGTTCAAACCCAGCCTGGGCCACTAAAATCAACAATTGACAACTGCAACAAAGAAATATCTAGGCGTTGTGGTGGGTGCCTGTAGTCCCAGCTACTTAAGAGGCTGAGGCGATAGAATTGCTTAAACCCAAGAGTTAAAAAAATAACGAAAGGAAGGTTAATTTCTCAGCATTTTCCTGGGGACAGGGGTCGGGTGTGGGGGGAACCACAATCTAGTTTCAGGATTAGTTGTCCAAGGCCAATTCTTGTGGATTCTTAAGTAAGCACACAATTGGGTGGCACTTGTGGCTCAGTGAGTAGGGCACCCACCCCATATACAGAGGGTTCAAACCCTGCCCCGGCCGAACTGCACAAAGGAAAAATAGCCAGGCGTTGTAGTGGGTGCCTGTAGTCCCAGCTACTCCGGAGGCTGAGGCAAGAGAATCGCCAAAGACCAGGAGTTGGAGGTTGCTGTGAGCTGTAACACCACCGCACTCTACCAAGGGCGATAAAGTGAGACTCTGTCTCTACAAAAAAAAAGTAAGCACACAATTACGCATTGTAAAAGAGAGTTATTAGTTGGTTTTAAGATGCAGTGACTGGCTCGGCGCCTGTGGCTCAAGCGGCTAAGGCGCCAGCCACATACACCTGAGCTGCGGATTCGAATCCAGCCTGGGCCCGTCAAAGAACAATGATGGTTGCAACCAAAAAATAGCCGGGCGTTGTGTCGGGTGCCTGTAGTCCCAGCTACTTGGGAGGCGGAGGCAGGAGACTCGCTTGAGCCCAG